GCGAATCACCATTTCATTGTATGCCTTTTAATATTTTTCATTAGCTATCACTTGATGCATCTCGATCATCAATATTGTCAACCAACCATAGACATCTAAGGCTTGTACTTTACGTTGTAGAGTCTTCCTTCCAATTTGATTACGGAGAACGTCTAGTAATATCTATTCCAAATATTTTGACATTCATCGTTAACTTTTGTCTGACATTCATCACTTGAAGCTTAATGAGTCTAAAATTTTAAAACTACAATCATACCATCGCAAAGGTTGTATTTCATGATTTGTTTATATTACATTATATTAATGCATTCTTTAGTCATTTTCAACAGCAAGGGACCACATTGGGTCTTGGTTGGATACCCAAGTTTTGCGCGTGCAAGCTGCACCCACCCACACCCACCTATATATGGTAACTTTTGGGATGTCATATCCATTCATACCCACCCACTTTTTACTCTTTTTGAGCTCAATCCGCCATAGACTTATGGTCTTCGGGCTTGTAGCCCTTCGTTCTGACTGCAAACTTTCAAGCCATATGTTAGAATTTATTGTGGTCGCAACGCAGTTCAGTGATGCACACTGCGTAGTGAGGATTGTGGTAATATACTTGTTGCGTCCAGGAGTATTCGCGGCGGTAGAGAAATATAAAGTTTATCGTCTTAGCGTTGTACGAAAATACGGCACGCAATCAGATAAGAGAAAGGGTCTAGCATTTATGAGACACCAAGAATTTTACGTGGAAAACCCCTGAAAAAGAGGGAAAAACCACGGGGCCTAGCCCAGTTTAAATGAATCCACTTGTATTGCAGTCGATTACAAATGAGGCCCATCCTTGGTGGAAGGTCTTAGCTTGATGTACATCTTATGGAGTACATTACATGATGTAAATACAAAGAATCACTATTGACATGTTCGCTTTGTTAGAAGGATTGCAGTCGGCGGGCGACGTAGGTCAGGAGGACCGTAGTCAGCTGGCGACGGAGGACTGTAGTCGGTGGGCGATGTAAGTCAGGAGGACCGTAGTCAACGGGCGACGGATGTCGGAAAGACTGTAGTCGGCGGGCGACGTAAGTCAGGAGGACCGTAGTCGGCTGGCGACGGAGGTCAGAAGGACTGTACTCGGCGGGCGACGTAAGTCAGGAGGACCGTAGTCGGCTGGTAACGAAGGTCGGAAGGACTGTAGTCTGACGACGAAGATCAGTAGGACAGCGTCAGGTAGAAGTACAGAAATGGAAAGAAATGCATCTTCGCATAGATGTCCAGCGAAATCTGATAACCGGTAGAAGTCTGGCATCAGGTAGAGACTTGCCGAAGAGTGAAGGTCCGACATCGGGTAGAAGTCCGACGTCTGTTGGTGGCAGAGGAGAAATCCGGCCTCCCTTGGGCGGAGTTTCGGCGTCAGGAGGGAACTCTGTCGTTAAATGAGAAGAATTTCAGCATCACGTGGAAGTTGTGCAAATTCCCGACGTTTCCTGAAAATCCGGCAGAGTTCCGGCGTCTTAAAGAAAAGAATAGCACCGGCCTTTTGCCGTTTGTGTAGCCAGAAATGTAGCCGGATTTTTTCTTAGTAAATTGACAGTCTGACACGTGTAAAGAAGATTCCTATCAAGCATGGCCCACCACCGTGGTTATCATGTTCATATTATCATGTCCCGTCGCACGCATAAGCCTAACCCAACGTATTACTCTTCCAATTAAAAATAATAATAATAAATAAATATATTATATTATTATTACCATTTTATTACGATAAATAATTATCACATCAAAGACGTTGACACGTGGCTTATGGTGAACGCGCGGTGGGATTGGAAGTTGGGTGCAGGAGATTTGATTATTTTACTTGGGAGGGAGGTGAGTGATTGAGGGAAAAAACACTATGCACGATTGTTGATACGGAAGATTAAACATTAAAATTAACACCTTCTGATCTTCTTTAAGATTGTAACTTTATTTTGTAGCATACACTTTAAATGAAGCCAACAGCTAATGATCTTACTGTAAGAATATTGTATTAAACCATAAGTGGATGTGATAATTTGGCATTGATGGATAGCGGTTGGGTTTCTGTGGGATCCGCGATAATCGCCAGGCACGTTCCACCCATATTTTGCCCTAATTGGTGGGGCCCATTTTACAGCTGTTACAACGGGCTCCTGTCTCCTGCTATCTTTTTTTCTTTCTCTGCTTAATAGTTAATTACATGCTTTACCCCTAACGCTGAGAATTTAAGGTTTCTTACTTTCTTTTCATAGCGTTGGGTGGATGCTGTGTAATATTATTTAATTAAGTTTTAATTTATTATGAAGTTTATTAAATATGGAAATTGTTTATTATTATTATTATTATATTGTCAAGCTGAAAAATTATAGGGGAAGTGTAGGGGTGACAACACGATCCATAAAATTTAAGTTCAAATTAACCTAATAAAGAAATGGGTCTGATTTGGGTCCTATTTTTGAAATATTTATAATTCGGTTCAGCTTGATAATCCTATATCAACTCGATTTGACCTGTACCTCCCCCCCAAACGGCCCCACCCCTGTCCCGCACCACATGCGCAACTCACGCGGCACGCATCAGTCCGACCAGCCCTTGCTCGCGCACAACATAGTTGTTTGCTCATTTCAGTCATGCTTGACGCACCCGCATGCGGTCCACCCTCGCCACCGCTCATTGGCTTCTTTATAGAGCTGCTGTAGAGAAATTAACTTTTTAAAACTATTATAGCAAGCAACTTGGTAGTACAATTTTTTTTTAAAGTAATAAGGAAGTTGTCCTAAACTAACCTAAATCTAATTGTGATTAAATTGTTAATTTTGTGAGATAATATAACTCATGTGTCTTAATAATGATTTTATAATATAAATTTTCTTTTTGTTTGATTTTAAAATTTTCATTTCATATCAATTTTGAAAATGATGGGATATTTTACTAAGTAATTTGAAAGATATGCCAGCTAGAAGAGAGCTAAATTATACAAGATATGAAATATCAAGTGAAGAACCAATATATTTGAGGTTAAGGTACATTAGTGGGTTTGAATCCATTGATTTAGTGTATTTCTTACTGTTGCGGGCTAGAATATACGCGGCGGTAGAGTTAGAAAATTTTCGTCTGAGCGTTGTACGAATATCTAGCACACACAAACAGAAGATAAAATTAAGAACACAAGGATTTTTACGTGGAAAACCTGGAAGAGGGAAAAAATCAAGGGGCCACGCCCAGTTGAAATAATTTCACTAGTGTTTGTTTGAAATACATAGTCTGATTCGTCTCACAAATTGAGACAATCAGTTTACAAATTAGCTTCTAACAAAGTTACGAAGTTCTACAAAATACCGTCGTTTCCCGAAAATCCGGCAGAGTTCTGGCGTATTCAGGCGGCGGGAAGAGCTCCGGCGGTGGTCGAGGAGGAGTGGATTCTCCCTTTCCCCATTCTCTTCTTCTTTCGTTCTTCTTCTCTCTCTTCCCTTGAGTCTCCTTTGTGTAGAATGAGGGCTCTATTTATAGTTTTTATGAAGTGGCATAGCTCGTAAATAGGTGTGAGATCATGGGCGAAAGGGAGTGGTCGAATGGACGGCCGATATTGAACCCTTCGATCGTGCACCATTCGTTGGACATTTGGAGGTCTTAATGATGTTGGAATTCGGCGGTCTTGGGCTCGTTAGACTCCTCTCGCCTAGCCGTTCGATTTGAGTATAAGCTCGTTAAAATCGGAGACCGTTTGGTAACTCAAATTGTGGTTTGAACCTTCCAACAGCGCTTCGGGTCCTTGATTTGGACCCATTTGGGCTCGGATTGGGTTGAATTTGGTGTCGTTTGGTTTGTGTTTCCGAGACGCTCAGTTTGACTGTAAGCTCGCTGAAATCGGAGTTCAGGTGCTCCCGGATTTAATTTTTGAAGTTTCCGAATTGATCTTTGCCTCGAGATTCGTGCCCGATCAAGATAATTTTTTAAGAATATATCAGTTACCATTTCACTAACAAAAAATCCTAAAGTAATGAACATTATTTGAAAAATATAAATATTTTACATAATTTTATTTATGTATTAATACAACAATATTTTACTGAATGATTAACACTATTTATTGAGCTAATATATAGACATCATTGTATGATCAATAGTCTAAATTTTTCTATAATAGAAAATCAAATATATAATTATTGATCGAGCATATGATTGCTATGATCACTAATTGAGTATCGTACATATGATTTCATTGGCATGACCATTAGTGATTAGTTCTTAAATTTTACATTATCTAATCATTTTAGATAAATTTTGGTTTAATTTGTAAGTTAAAATTTACTTTTCATAATCATATATTGCTAGTATGTGTGATAAAATATTTTTAGAGTGTTTACTATGAAAAAAATCTACCGGTATATGTTTCCTACGTGGTTTAGACCAGCAGAATAAATTACGTCGGAAAACCGCTGGAAAATAGCTCATTTCCGCCGGTAATGAATGATTTTCCTATAGTGAATATTACGGTTATAACTTGAACACTCGTATTGACCAAATCACGTTTAATTAGTACATCATTTCTTATATATTTATAGGTTTGTATATTTTTATTATTGTTTTAACACATCATTGAGCTTCCATTACAATATTATTTGATCTATATTTGTAAAAAATACTCTATTATGATAAATTTAACATAATTTAATATTATATATAAAAAATATATTACATTAATTTTGAAAAAAAAAAAATTAATAATTTTTAAATTTATCATAAAATAATTTTAAACAAAAATATCTTCATATAATTTTTTAAATTATTATTTTTGGATTACTGTGCTATTTGTTGGACAAAATAACACTGTAACTAATTTTACTGGTAGTCTATTATTAGGCGGCAAGCTTAGCAATCTGCGTTTTTATTAATAATATTAATTTTCCTTCTCTCTCTCACATCATCGTCGTCATTATCATCAGTGTTCTGTCTCCTTCTCCTCCTCCTCCTTCTTTTCTCTCTCTATTCATTTACTCTAATTCTCTCTTTCTATCTTCTCAAATCCCTCCTGTTTTAGGAACCTCCCCTACCTCTTTCCTGCTCAACTCCGGTTCTCATCTCCCATCTTTAATATTCTCTCCCTTCGCTGATGTAAATCGTACTGTTATTTTTTTATGTTATTTCCGCCAGCTCTCACTTTTAAGGACTGCCCCCTTTCCCCCTTCTCTCTCTCTTACTACCCTCTACTCTCTTTCCAGTTGTCCAAGCTTCCATCTTTTTCACCCTCTTCCGGTACTCATCTCCTTTTCCATTTTCCACCTCCTCCAATCAAGTTCTGCTCCGCCTTTCTCTCTCCTCGCTATTTCTTTCTCTTTTTCTCTCATCTTCCTCTATCAACCCAAGATTAGTAGTAGAGGCAGCAGTGCTGGTAACTCCCCGCGGGAATTTCGAGGGGGAAATATTCCGGACGCATGCAGCAGCAAGGAGGGTCCCAGTATGGGGTTCCTCCGCCGGAAATGGCGCCGCCATTCTCCTCCGCCGCCATGATCGGAATTCCCACGGGCGTCGAATATATACAGCAGCCGCAGCAAGTGGCCGAGGCCGCGTCGCCCATCAGTAGCCGCCCTGCGCCGCCGCAGCCTGCTCCGCCTCGCCAGCAAGTTTCAATTTTTGAAGATTTCGGCTCGGGGGGCGGAGCTATGGTTAGAAGCTTTCCCGACGAGGAGGCGCTGGGCGCTGGGGAGGATACTGAGAGAGGCGGTGGCGGCGGGAATAGATGGCCGAGGCAGGAGACTCTGGCTTTGCTTAAGATCCGCTCGGATATGGACGCCGTTTTCAGAGACGCCACTCTCAAAGGCCCTTTATGGGAAGACGTCTCCAGGTAATTTATCCGCCATTCAATTCTTGACAATTGAGCTAAATTCCGGTCATCTCTCCTTCTCTCTCTCTCACCAGAGCTCAGTCCATCAGTTTTCACGAGATCTATTTCCTTGTTTTCAAAAAAGAATTAATGTGAGTCATCTTGAATGATGCAATTGACACTGCAGAATAGAACCTTAACGGTTTCTTCTAGTTGCAGCTCTTAGGAAACGATGTTTGATGGGATTCGTACAACTGATTCTGACTGCTTTTTCTTCTGTTTCTCTTAAATTCATTGGGAATAAAGAAGAGGTAAAGATTTCTCTCTCTAGAAATATAGATCGAGAGGAGGGGAAAGATGGAAAGATCGGAAGTTACTAACTATTCACCATTGAATTTCCAAATTGGACTGCTGCTGCAACAAATTTGAGTTGCAGCAATCCCGATCCGACCCAGTTTTCGAAATAGAAATCTGATCTTTAAATTTCATAAAAAACTCATTTTTATGTTTCCCATGCATTCACTGTGTGATTTTCTGTGTCTCTTCCTCTCCCCCTCTCTCTCTCTCTCTCTTCGCATTATATATATACATATAATTATATTTGGTTTTTATATGAGTGAGATAATAATTAAAATATAATTGAAGCTCATAAGATGCTGATTGTGTGGAGGTCGTTTTTGCGTGCAATCATCATCACCACCCTATTTTCCATGCCCTTTTTCTTTTTTTTTTTTCTTCGTCTTCCTCCTTTATCAGAATGCTTATCCATCTCAAATTCCGCTTTTTTATCTTCTTCTCCCACTGTTTCTAATACTACTATTAGGAGCTTATTTGGTTCTCAGGAAGCTGGCCGAGTTGGGCTACGCAAGGAGTGCGAAGAAATGCAAGGAGAAATTTGAAAATGTTCACAAATACTATAAACGAACCAAGGAAGGCCGAGCCGGCCGCCAGGACGGGAAAAGCTACCGTTTTTTTACTCAGCTTGAAGCTCTCCATAGTAGCAGTGGCGGAGCCGCCGGAATTACCTCATTGCCTTCCCCTCCCAGCACCGCAATAATCCCGAGCGTAGTTACTTCCGCCACCGGTTCTGCCGCCCCACCGCATAAGAACTCCTCTTCTTCTTTACCCGCGCTGCACGACAGCACAATGACGCCGGCGCCACCTGTTACCAGAATCCAACCAGCTGCTGCCGCAACACCTCCCGTCGCAGCACCAGCGCCGCCATCTCGGTCGATTCTTGAGCTATCCACCCCCGCCGCTGTTTTCGGAATTAGCTTCTCTTCCAACACTTCGTCATCTTCGGCGTCGGAATCGGACGGGGAAGAGACCGAAGAAGGAGGAGTCGGTGCACTCCATGACGGCGGAAGGAAGAGGAAACGGGAGGCTTGGCCCGGAGGAACCCGAAAAATGATGGCTTTCTTTGATGGGTTGATGAAACAGGTGATGGAACGGACGGAAGCGATGCAGCAGAGGTTCTTAGAAACTATTGAGAAGCGAGAGCAGGACAGAATGATTCGAGAAGAAGCCTGGAAGCGGCAGGAAATGGCAAGGCTCAATCGTGAGTACGAGCTAATGGCCCAAGAACGTACGATGTCTGCGAACAGAGACGCCGCTGTTATCTCCTTTCTACAGAAGTTTACCGGAATTCAAGCAAGTCACCCACTGGCACCTCCCATATCTGCCGCAACTCCACCAGAAGAAGCAACAGCGCCACCACCAACTTCTCCGCAGGAGAACCTGAAACCTCCAGCACCAGTTGTCGAAGTTCCGGCGATGCAAATTGAAACAAACAATAACCAGCTTGTAAGAAACGATATTGTTATAAACCAGCCGACCTCATCTTCGGAACCGGCCGCCGCTTTGTCGGAGTTGGCGGATGGAATGTGTCTTGGAGGCTTTGATACAATCTCACCGTCTTCCTCATCGTCGAGATGGCCAAAACCAGAGGTTCTCGCATTAATCAGGCTGCGCAGTGGGCTTGAGTCAAGGTACCTCGAGACAGGACCAAAGGGACCGCTTTGGGAGGAGATTTCGCTTGGGATGAAGCGGCTTGGCTATAGCCGGAATGCCAAGAGATGTAAGGAGAAATGGGAGAACATTAATAAGTATTTCAAGAAGGTGAAGGAGAGCAACAAGAAGCGTCCTGAGGACGCAAAAACATGCCCTTACTTCCACGAGCTCGACGCTCTTTACCGTAAAAAACAACTCTTTGGGGGCGGCGGAGCAGCCGCCAATCCCGGAACTGCTGCACAGCAAACACAGGAGGTCGCCATTACTCCAAAAGTTGGGGAATCTCTTCAAAATCCGGCACCGATAACTGGACTAACAGAGCAGGAGAACAATAAAGGTCAAAAAAATCCAACCTCCTTGAGAAGCAGCGACGGAGGAAATCAAGAGATTAGCGGCGTTCAAATACCAAGAAGCAACGGTACTGGACTTTCTCAACTGTTCTTCGGAGGAACCCCAAACAGGGGTAGCTCCACAACATTGAAAAAGGTAATTAGAAGTACTAATTAGGTTAATCTCGATCTGCACTTCTATTTCAGATCATAAATTGTTTAATTCATCCTTTTTCTTTTGCCATGAAGCCAGAAGACATCGTTAGAGAACTGATAGGACAACAGACTCTGCAACATCGAGTGGTGGCAAATGACTATGAAAAGCTCGGCGGCAGCGAGACCGTCGACAGCGACACCATCAATCATGACTATGACGACGACGACGATGAAGACGAAGAAGACGAGGAAGAAGACGGTAAGCTAAGGTATGAAATACAGTTCCAACGGCAAGGTGTCGGGGCCGGTTCCGGCCCTGCTCGCTCTGGAAATTCAACGGGAAAGGTTCCGCCGACGGCGGCGTCATCCGCAGGTTCTTTCCTCGCTATGGTTCAGTAAAATACATGATCGATCGATTCTTCCATTCCCCATTTCAAAATTCCAACTTTTTTTTTTCTATCTTCCTTCAAATCCACATTTCATATTTCTTCTCCACCTCTCCACATCAAATTAAAGCCTTTTCATCCAAAATTTAGACTTTTGAATCGCCATAGATGTCCTTTTTTATTTCTATTTGTTGTGGGAATAAGGTTCCTTTTCAGGCCAACAACATAAGGGTTTAAGAGAATAATCAAGCTCGTCTGATTGAAGTGCAGCAGACATAATAATTTAAGCAAAAGAGTAAATGAATTAAGCCCTTGTAAATTAGAGGATTATGAAGCAAGAAGAAGGCAAAAAAAAAAAAAAAAATTCCTTTTTCCCCCTCTTCTTTCTCTGCGCGAACTCTTTAAACATATTTATATATATATATAAACTTCGCATCTGAGATCCTTCCTTATCGTCTCCATTCTCCCTCACATTCAGAGAAATAATAATTTGGAGGAAGAGAAGAAAGCAGGTGGAACTCCTTTGAGTTTTCCGCCCATTTCTCTCTGTAAATCTCTTGCTCTTCTTATTTACTTCACGGCGACTTTGGTAATTGGCATTACAGTAATGTACATTAGTTATGCTTTGAAGCCGCATTTATAATTTGTAAAAAAAAACCCAATTTGTTGAAGCGAGTTTGTTGAGTGCTTGCAATTTATTAAATTTATATATAAATATGTGGGAGTTTTTATGCAATTTTTTCATAATTAACGTGCAAAAAAAAATTGTATTGGCAAATTTAGGAATTTATTTGAGGAATGCATAGGGGTTGTTATGTAATAGAAAAGTCCTCCTAAGGAAGATGTGATGAGACTTGCAATGTTTTATGGAGTCGAATATTGTTCATTAAAAGAGAAGCATAATACTAAGTGTTGCAGAGATGAGAATGCTCAGGTGGATGAGTGGTTTTACTCTTAGACAGGGGCGGAACCAGCCTTAATTTTCAGGGGGGCAAGCTTACAAATAAATGTCGCGGGTGCAAGGGGGCAGCGCCCCCAGCGAGGTTCGACCTACCCGGTCAGGTCGCGGGGTCAAGGGGCAGCGCCCTTGCGGGGGTTTCTGGGAGCAGTGCCCCCGGAACAAATTTTGGTTGTAAGGATATTTTTGGAATTAAAATTTAAAAATAAAATGATGAATGCAAACGTGGGTTTTTTTAGATTTTGGTGTCTAAATATCATAGTATTTTAAAAGTTTTAGGGGGGGAAATTGCCTAAAAACCCTTATAATAAAGATTAAAAAACCTAAAAAACTATGCAATAAAAAAAATTTATTATTTTAAGGGGAGGGGGAGCGCCATTGGAAGATAAGATTAGATAGAGTCGCCTTAGATGATTTGGTCAAATAAAACGGAGGCCTTCCGATGACCCAGTTAGAAAAGTAGAGGTATTAGATTTGACTTATGTTAAAAATGTAGATATAAGCTTAAAAAGACTTCGTTAGAAAATATTAGAAATGATCTTTTTTTTTAAATTTAAACGAGAATAAGTTTAATGTTGTTGTTTTAAGATAATAATTATAATTTTATTTTTAAAAAAATTATAAAGTAACTTATTATTTTTATCAATCAAAATAATTAAATTATTATTTTATAGTAGTTTTATAATAAATTTTATAAAAAAATATTTACGACCTTCCAAAAAAGCAAGAACAGAGGGAACAGATGACACAACTCTCCTTGGCCTATTGGTTGAAAGCTTAGGCTTCTAACTAAGAGGTCCAAAATTCGAGTCCTTGTGTATGCGTTGTGTGTGTGAGTTTGCCTTAAATGGCCTAAATGTCC